GGGGCGGGGCGGGGTGGAGAAGGACCAGGAGCGGGCCGGCCGGCGGTGGGTGATCCCGGGACGCTGGGGTTTAGGGTGAGGGCGGGGTAAAACGGGGAGCGGAACCCGTACCCCACGAGCCCCGCACCCTGGGCTATGCCCTCTTTGACTCCTCCTTTTCCGCGGAGGTCTGGATCCCGCATCCCGGACCTCCCAACTCGACCTTGGCACTATACAGGGGGGGTCACAGCTGGCTGGCAGCTGGATGGGGGGGCACTCCTCCCACCTTCTTCCTCCATGACTCACCCAGGGGAAGGAGGACTCGCACACGACCCCCCAAATATTACAGAGACTCCCCCAAACGTGCACACTCCGCTACCATCCTGCTCCTCCGCCCGGCCGCCGCGCGGAGCCGCGATGGGAACGGGGAGACGTCCCTCTGCCTACGCGTGCCGCAGCCCACCCACGTCTCCCCTTCACACTAGCAAAAGGAAAATATCGCTAATTTTTCCAGCTTCACTGAACTTTTTCTGGGGATGGGTAAGAGAGAGCGCGGGATGAAGCAGGCGGGCCTAGGGTGCCCCTGCCGGAGCCCTGAGTCATGTTCGGTGTCTTCTCCTGGTACCCCCGCTCCCCAACTCCCAGGAGCCGGCCCCGCCCCCTCTCCGGTCCCGCCTTCCCCGCCCCCGTGCCTCCCCGGCCCACCCAAGTCGCCGCCGCAGGCTCTGGCTGCAGACAGCTCCGCTTCCCCCGCCCGCCCGGGAGCCCAGTCGGGCGAGCAGTAGTGGGGGGGTGAGGGGCAGGGCACATTCTTCCCTCCTCCTCCTCCTCCTCCTCCTCCTCCTCCTCCTCCTGCTCCCCGCGCACCCGCAAAACAGGCAGTGGCGCCCTGGGGGGCTCTGTTGGAAGGCGGGGGTCCCGATGGTGGGGAGGAAAGAATTCAGAAGCTATAGGCAGAGAAAGCGCCTGGGTAAATAAAATAAGGTGTCCACGAGGAGGAAGACACCTTAGGTTCCCGGGTATCCCGGCCAGCTTCCTAAGGGTTAACCCCTCCGGACCCCCGGGAACCCCCTAGTGACGTCAAGGGCGGGGTCTGAGTCGCGCGCGGGGATGCCGCAGAGATAATGGGGGGGGTCTCTGGACTCCGCCCCCTAGGGAAAGCCACCCTCATTCCGGCCCTCGCGTCTCCCCCAGGAAGCCTCCCAGCCTCCTACCTCTACTGGCCGGAAAGAACTACCCCACGAAGACCCCCGTTCTCCAGTCCCCTAAAACCCTCAGTCTCCACGGGGTCCCCTTTCCCTAATTCTATCCCCCAAGCTAGCTGCCCGGGGCTGATTGTTTCGGGGTCATGGGGCCTGAAAGAAGCTTCAGAGAGGGGAGCAAGGGCAGGCAGGGTGGTCCGAGCCGGAGGAGGGGCCTCGGGCTCCAGCTCCCGTTTGGGCGGGGGGCCAGCGGGGATACACAGGCAGGCGGCGGCCGGTGGTCCCTCCCCGCCCCGGTAGGGGTCTCCCTGCGGCCGGCTCCAGCTGCCCCGGTGGTCCTGAGGTCAGAGGGTCACGACAAGGTCTCCCCAGCTGTCTTTCACGCCCTGTCCTCGGGACTCAGGGGCGCAGAATTCCTTGGCGCTTTCCTAAGGCCTACCCCACACCTCGGACAGCCCCCCGCCAGCCCTCTTTGCGTCCCGGGTGCACTTCTTTGCCCTAAGACGCAAGCATCCGCGGGCACATCTGTCACCAGACAGCTCAGGGGTCCAAGCCCAGCCGGCCTCCGGCGCTGTTACCGCCTCGCACACCGGTCCCCACCCCACCCGGCGTCCCCCCCTGGCGGTGGGTCCCCTCCTCTCAGCCGCTGACGTCTTCCTGCCCCGCGTGCGGAGACGCACCTGGAGTTCCCTCTCCACTACGCAGACCTCCAGCGGGCCATCATCCCAACCTCGGGGAGCAGACCTTCTAAGGTGTGGGAGAAGTGGAGACAGACAAAGAGACCCACGACTGCCTGAGACAGACGCACAGACTGTCAGAGGAAAAAGAAGACACTCAGAGGAAAGGAGTCACAGATGAAGCACTCCTCCAAACTTTCTACCGTCTCGCCCATTGTCTCCCACCCCAGTTTTTCCTGAGCCCCAGGTCTGCCCCCGGGCTGGGATGAGTCCCGCGCCGCGGAGCATCTCCTCGGCCCCCTCCCCCACCGCTCCCAGGTGGTCCCCCGCGCGCCCCCCTTCTCACCTCCGTCTGGGCGCAGGGCTCGGGATGCGCGGTCCAGGGCTGGAGTCTGGGCTGGGGGTGTGCAGTGGGGAGGGGGGGCGGACAGGGCCACGGCGAGCAGCCTCAGTGCCACCCCACCCCCCCAACCTGGCCCCCAGCCCTCCCGCCGGCCCAGCCCGCCGGGCCGCAAGCCGGGACCACCCGCGAGAAGCGCAAACTTTTTTTCCTTTTGCAAAAACTTTTTCTCGGTCTGGCCGCTTGGCGCGCCGCCGCTCTTCCCGCTCGCCCCTCACCTCCCTCCTATTTCCCTCCCCGTGGCCGTACTGGAAGATGAAGTGGGGTGGCTGGAAGCGAGAGAGGGGGTGCCGGGCTGATTGCACCCCCAGGACCCCCAGGATCCACCCCCTCCCTTGAGGGACTCTATACTGCCTCCCCCCCCAACACGCTGCGTTGGTGGGCAGTAAATCCCGGGATGGAATTCGCTGGATCGGCCATCCTCGAAGAGGCCCTGAACCAGAGCCAGAAAAGCATCCAGAAAAATACCTCGGGGCGAGGAAGGGAGGGGGAGACGCTCACCCGAGAAAGACAACTTTGAAGGTAGGGTCGTCGACTTTGGTGTCAACTGAGCTTCCATCCCTCTCTGGCTTATTGGCCGGCCTCTGCCTTTGGATGGAATTTAGGGTTGGGACAGAGTAGGGCTTCGGGCAAACAATTCAGGGGTCGCTGGCTGTGGAGGAAGGTTAGGGGGTCTACAGAGCATCAAAGAGAGGCGCAGCGACTAAAGCTCTGAGTATAGAGTGTGCGTTCACAGGTCACTAAGAAGCCGCGGGTCTGAAGCACCTTTCCCGCGAAACCGGCTCTTTCTAAAGACTGAGGCCGCCTCCGCACCTCGCTCGCCTGCCCTCTTTCAGCTCTTTAAGGCTTTTTGCTCCCTCTGCTGGTCGTCCTGACACATGACACCTTCTTAGTGTCTGAAAGCGGGAGAACCGAGAGCTGAAGAAGGAACCCCTGAGAAGTTCCGCACTAAACCTGTTAGGATCCCACGGAGGGGAAAGTGTGAGCCCGAAGAAGCGGAGGGGCATGCTCGCTCGGGGGAGGTGGGGAGCAAGCGGCCAGAGGTAGTGCGGGAGAGGCGTGCACGTTCCCTTTGGATTTATGTTGCCATGGTGACCAGATGCAGGGGAAGGACAACTATTTCAGTCTCTGACCTTTCTAAGAAATAGGAAAGGGGCTGGGGATTTAGCTCAGCAGCACAGCGTCTGCCTGGCAAGCTCGAGGTCGTGAGTTCGATTCCCGGTACAGAAAAAAAAAAAAAAATAGGAGAGAGGATGATGAGACAAAGGAGGCCCTTTCCCCTTCTGTCACCTCTCAGCCAGACCTCCCACATCCTCACTGCCTTCTAAGGACTCTGCCTGGGGCCTGGAAGGTCAGTGGGTTAACTGTTCACTTTGAGGGTCAGAGGGGGAAAGATCAAGCGAGGAGCGGATCTGGGGCCCTACAAATATAGGTCGCAACTATGGGGACCGGCAGAGAAGAGCCGTGTTCCAGCCTACGCCCCCACATGACTGACCCAGGCCCGTTATACTCAGAAGCTCGGTGACCCAACTGAGGCAGGCCCAATTAATGAAAAAGAAGGGATCCTGTGTATGTTTCTTGTGTGTTTCTGCTCAGCCACTAGCCTCTTCCTCCAGGGAAGCTCTTTTGGAATACAATATAAACCAGTAGTTCGTTTGTTTGCTTGGTTTTTTTTTTTTTTTTTTCTTGAGACAGGGTCACACTTGGACTTACTATGGAGCCCAGATTAGCCTCCAACTCGCAGCAATCCTCCTGCCTCAGCCTCCCAAATGCTGGGATTACAGGTGTGTGCCACTATGCCCAGGAAAAGTCAATAATTCGTAAGTTTTTTGACTTCAAGACTCCACTCTGCTTTTTAAAATCACTTAGTTTTTTCCTCCATATGTATTGTATCCATCAATTCATCATGTTAGAAATTAAAACAGAAGATTATAACAAGAATACACAGGCTCACATTCCATTAGCGGTGATGTCAGAAAGATGATGTAATCACATGTCACACTGGAAAACTTCACTGTACAGTTTTGAAGTAATGAGCGAACAACACGTTAGTATGATGGTGAAAATGCTTCGGACCTGTAGAAACCCCTGAAAGGACCTCAGGGACCTCCCAGCAGCCCGCAGATCACCTCTGAGAAGCACTGCTGCAGATCATTACCTCAACCTCTGTTCATGACTCACACGGTTGATTTTCTTTCTTATTTTTATTAGGAAACTATGCATGTTTGTCTCCCCAGTGGTTCTGTCCCCCAGAGAAAACCAGACAACTTCTTAGGCTCTGCACCCATTTTCCCCAAATCTCTTTTTCAGTCTTTTTGTTTTTTTTTGGAACTGGGGATTGAACCCAGGCCTCCCATGTGCCCAGCAAGCTCTCTACCATGGAACTACCTCCCCACCCTTTTCTTTCTGGGGCTCTCCCAAACACCCTCCCCAGGCACCTTGCCCATGTTCCTCTTGACCTTCCCTTAAATTAATGCCCTTAAATTGGGGATGCTGGAGCATGCTTATAATCCTAGCATTTAAAAGGCTGAGGCAGGAGGATCAAGAGTTTGAGGCCAATCTGAGCTAATAGATCCTCTTTGTGTGTGTGTGTGTGTGTGTGTGTGTGTGTATGTGTGTTTTCGAGGCGGGGTCTTGCTATGCAGTTCAGGCTGGCCTTGAGCTCACTTTGTAGCTCAGGCTGGTCTTGAACTCGCGACGATCCTCCTGCCTCAGCCTCCGAAGTGCTGAGATTACAGGTGTGCATCACCACACCCAGTGATCCTGTCTCAAAAAAAAAAAAAAAAAAAAAAAGAAATTGAAGCTCTCAACAGTCCCTGTCCTCTGCCAGCCTCTCTGCCCCATCCCGAGCCTTCTGGGCCTTTGGCTTTTTTTTCCTTTACTTGAGGACTTTCAGTTCTTGGGAAAGATGAATTCTTCTCTGCCTTCTTCCCGACCTCCCCTGCCAGCCCCTGCCATTTTCTCACGGGGCTTAGGGTAGGAAATTGTGCTGTCTGGGTTGTCCCTTTACCAGAAACGCTTCACCCATCACCCCGCACATGAACCAGCCCGAAATAGGCCGGTATCTGGGACGAGAGAGTGTCCACTGGGGCTCCGTAGGGGTCAACCCAGTCATACTGCCAGGCAACCTATCGAGTGGGTGTGCGGATCAGAAAACCTGACGCCTCCAGACACAGATACCCTTTTCCTAGGATCCCCCAACTTGATCTCTTTACTCTGAGCCCCCAGGTCCCCCCGTTAGCTGCAGCCGCAAGCTTCCACCACCATATCCGGCACATCCGTCTTCACCACATTGCTGTTGTGGTCCAGGTAGAGGAGAGAGAGAGGCCTTCTGGCCGTGGGGACGCAGCAGGAGGAGGCTGCAGGCCAAGGATTGTTGGCTTTGAGGAGGTTGAAGACTGCAGAGTGGAAGGAGGCGGCAATCCCGGGGCTGCCGGCCAGGTGAGGGGGGCACTGTCCACTGCAGTAGTTCAGCTGGTACCCCTCAGGCTGCAGGATCCAGTCCCGCCATCCGAGTTCCTGGAAGTCTACGTAATAGTCCCGCCTGCAGCATAAGGGAGTCTCAGGCTCGCAGGTGGGGGTCCTCCTCCTGGTCCGACCTGCTCCAGGCCCGTGGGCCCGAATCTTAAGCTGCAGGAAAGGACGGTAGTGTCCTGCTGCGTCCAGGAGCTGCCTCGGCTGTCCAGCAGCAGCTGTGCTGTTGTCTTCCAGAGGTCTGCAGTCCAGCTGGAGTTTCACCAGCCCAGACTCTTCACCCCTCAAGCCACCAGAGGGCAGAATCAAGGCGTGCCAGCCGGGAGCATTTATTTGGTGCTCAGCCAGGAGGGCAGGTGACCCTCCGTGCCTCCCCCCGGGGCCCCGCTGGAAGATCCTCAGGTGAAGAGGGCCAGGACGGGCAGGGAGAACATGCAACCAGAGGCGGGCGTGGGACAGGTGGTGGGACTGAAGAGTGGACAGCTGGAAAGTGAGCGTGGAGCTGCAGGTTGAAGTGGAGAACTCTGCCCGGAAGATAGCCAAAAGACAGAGAAATGTGAGCAGAGATGAAGCTCCCCTTTGAAACTCCCGCAGTCTCCAGGTGCTGTCCCTCACACCCAGCTTTAGAAAGGGCCCAGGCTGCCCGTGTTCAGTAACCACTCCCCACCCAGCTCCTCCTTCTCCTGCCACACCCCCTCCATCTCCCTCCTGCCGGGCCCTCCTCCCCCTCCCTCTCCATCCGCTCCCTGCCTGTCCTGCTCACCCACCTGCAACGGTAGCAAAGCTGACGACCTCCTCCCCTTTCCTCGGAGCCTCAGTCCCAGGCTGCAGTCTCCGGAGGGCCCTGGCCAGTGCGGCCCGGGGTGGAGGATGGGTTACTCTGGGACGGCTGGTCAGGTGCAGCCCCCGGAGGATCTGCTGCTTGGCTAGCTCCAGCACCAGAGCCCGTTCTGCTTGAAGCGCCAGCGCTGGGCCCCCACAGGCTGGGCATGCAGATGCCGCGCCCTGTACCCACACCAGTGCCCACAACAGCCCCAGCCAGAGCTGGACATGAGGGAGTCCCATGCTCCTGCTGGATGGTCCCAGGTCAGGAGCCGAAGAGGGCCGTTTCTCCTCTATTGAGTTTGACTCACTGGCGCAGTGCGGGCACAGCAGCGGCGGATGTCAGTGCCACGCTGCCTTCCACAAGGGTTGGGCCACGTCTATGGCCTGGGGCTCAGGAAAGGTGGAAGTGGGTTGTCCGATGGGTGGCTAGGTTGGACTCTCAGAGTTCATGACTGGCTACCGACCTGGGGCCTCTTTAGAGCCAGCTGCCTGGGGCTCCCCACCTAGTAGTCGCCCAGAGGACCTACCCACTGAGCCTTAGGATTGGCCGGCTGCGCTGCCCATCAGGCCCCTGCAGGGGTGGAGGCCCCCCCTCAGCTCGGGTTTCACCATCTGGCTGTGGTGGCTTGGGGTAGGGGTAAGGGGGCAGCAGTGTGGACACGCATGATGCAAGAAAGAGGATGATTTCACATGCTCAGTTCCCAAGGTCTGGGACCGAGAGGAGGGGCTCCCCATGTGCCAGGTGGGGAGGGCGGTTTCCCCCAGTACGCAGGCTGGCTTGCCCGGACAGCGTGCTGAAGCAGGTCCCGGAGGCAGCTGTGGGTTCCAGTGGTTGTTTCTTTGGAGCCTCTGGGCCAGAAGGAGAATTCTGCTCTCCTTATTTCTACCACGGGGCTGGGCTAGGGGTGACAGGCTGGGTGGTGGTGGTAGGACAGTGGAGTCCCATTGCTCAGGCCAAGATGGAAGCGCCATAGCACACAGAAGTCACCCCTTGTCCCTGCCTGTGCTGGCCGCCCAGAGTCCAGTTGGCCTGGAGCGCGCCGTGGAGGATGGCCAGAGCGAGAGCTGGTGGACGTGCTACCTGATGTCTGGGGAAACCCAGAGGTGGGGGTGGGAGTGATGCAATCTGACAGCGGGGCAGAGTCCAGCTAGCCAGGCTGGCAGGAGGGCATGAGACCCGGGCGGGCCTGTACCCGGCTGCTGCTTCACTTTCAAGGCATTGTAAGAATCGCCTAAATGTGAAGCATTCTAGAAGTGGTGCCAGCAGCCTCTCTGTCAATGAAGTTAGGGAGTGGGAGGCCTAAGGGCTTTTAAGAATGAAGCAGCAACCTTACTTCCCAGTCTCAGCACCCCCTGACCTACTTACCATCCATCCTTTCACATGCACTAAACACCTGAGCTCAAGCAACCCTGCTGCCTCAGCCTCCTGAGAAGCTGGAGCTACAGGCATGTGCCATGGTCTCCGGCCCTCACTGACTTTAAATGCGGATAGGAAGTGGATGGGTCTCAGGCTTGCTTTTTTTCTTATGGCCCAGTTTCTTTAAAAAGCCGGGGGAGGTGTCGGGGAGACAGCTGTGGGGAAGAGTGTGACTTAGAAATGTGTCCCTGTTCACTTATTCGTCTTCTCCCTGTTTAGTTGGTGGGACTGTCAAGAGAGCCCTAGACCGGGATCCAGGGAGGTGGGTCACCCTGACGACTGGGCTTCAGTACCGCCAGCGTCCACCGTGTGGCAGAGCGGTGCCACTGGACAGCAGCTGGGTGACAGCTGACCACCGCTTCCCAGAGACAGCAAGAGGCTGCCTGGGGAGTGGAGAAATGGGGAGTGCACCTCATTCTCTCGTTCTGGGGACCCTGCCTCCCCCACAGGAGCTGGGGAGGAGCGGGTTGCTCTGCTGTTCCCTGTCACCACTGCCAGAGAGCGGAAGCTGGTCTCTAAGACTGCATCACCGCTACCTTTGGTGTTGGATCTCATCACCCTGACACGTGGCACTGGTGCTTGGTGGTGGTGCCAGGCTCTTCCTAGAAACTCAGGGTGCCACGGGGTGGGGAGGAAGTGGAAGGGTCAGTGAGACTCTTAGACACTCCTGTCCACCCTGCATTTCTCCCCGGGCCCTGAACCAGCCCTCTGGCCAGTGCGCTCCCCAGAGCCTAGATCCCAGGTGAGTGACTGTGAAATTGCGGAGCGGAGGTCTCCGCCAGCGGTGGTACCTAGGAGGGCTTGGGCTTACTTGTTGGTGCCAGGAGACGGTCAGGGAAAGTGGCAAGGTGCGGCTGTGGGAGCCACTGACCCCACCTGCCCATAACCTTCCTGTCAGGTGCCCCCAATTCGCAGCTCTTCCCACCCCCTCGTTGCTGCGCCCGGCCTGGCCCTACCTCCCCACTGACACTTACGTCAGAACTCAGCTATAAATACGCTCTCAGCATCTTAGTCACTTCTCGCAAGAAGCGCTCCCAGGTTATAAATACCCCAGCCATCTGCCTCACCACCGCCCCGCCATCAACCTGGCTGGGGGCTGGGGGGTGGCGGCAGGCTTGGTGGTCGGTAAGGGAGTGGAAGTGCTTATCCCTTCCCAAGGAGAGCACCCTCAGGGGTCTAGAGGTAGGGCACGGAAGCTCAGGAGGAAAGTGTTTGGAAGAAGACAGACCAGCTCTTTCCCCTTTAGCACAAAACAGAGCCAAAAAAGAAAGGGAATAGTATGGATCCCGCTTTTATTTTAAAATACGCTGCTCTGTTCCTCATGGATTTTTTTTCCCATTAATTTTGGTGCTTAAAAATATTGTATTCAAATATTTCTTACTTGGGTTATTCTCTTTCTCTTTTAAATTTTTGCCTCCAAGTTGAGTGCCTTACTTTGCCTTAACCCAGTCTCCGCCTTGGGAACGGAAGCTGTAGTCGGAGGGAAGGAGATTTGGTCTCAAAGAGGGGTGCAGTGGGGGACGCAGGCAAAAAGGACAGAGAGAGACAGCAGAGCCTCTCCCTAGATGAAAGCCTCCTCAAGTCCAAGGTCGGATGACATTCTTGTTGCTGTTTTGTTTGTTTTTGTTTTTTTGAGACAGGGTCTCACTATGTGGCTCAGGCTGATCTTGAGCTGGCTAGGTAGCCCAGGCTGGCCTCAAACTCATGGCGATCTATCTGCCTCAGCCTACTGAGTTCTGGGGTTACAGGCGCATGCCACCATGCCCGGCAAAGGTGGGATAACGTCTATGGGCTTCCACACCCTCAGAAGTCCCCTTTTAAGAATTTCTCCTCTAACCTCCCCATTCCAGGGACCTCTTACCCTGCTCGGAGGGGGTTATAAGCTGAGCAAATACAGACATCACGTTCCCCAAAGGACACATGGGCTTTGCGCAAACTCGGCCTTGGGCTACAGACAGTATCGACCCATGGTTCAGCCAAAGGGAGGAGACCCCATGGTCCAGCCAAAGGGGAAAGGTGGCGGAAAGGGGCAAAGGTTAAAGAGCACCCATTCTCAGAGCAGATGCCACCTTTTCATTGTCCCGGACCTTCCTCTTCTCCCTGTTCTACTTAACTGGCTCTTGCTGGATCCAGCTGGCAGGCAGAACTCCTGGAGGGACTCCTGGGAGGTTGAGGGGAGGGCGAGCCAGGGGTCCCAGAGGGCAGCTCTGAGCATGCCTCAGCCTCCCGCCACATGTGTGTCCACAGACTGTCGGCTTACTTGATGATTGATCATTGATCTGTCTCATCTCTTGGACCGGGTCCAGAGCGAGGAGATGAACAGGAAAATCTAGTTCTGTATTAGCCATGAAACCATGAGATGATGATTCTGGGAGGATGGAGGGGGCCTGAGGAGGAAGAGGAGGCAGGCGGCCTCGGGGAGGGAGAGGGGGGTACAGGATCTCAGCTCTGAGGGCTCCGTGGGAAAAGAGAGCACGGCGGGCCGGGCAGACTGTCATCTGCGGTGTCAGTTTGGGTCCTGGCAGGAAATAGGGGAGCCCTCGGCTGTCTGTGTCTGCTTCTGCAAGATAACTCAGTGAAGAAATTATTTGAAAGGGTCTAGACAGAGCTAAGGGAAACACGCAAGGGTGTTGAAGCCCTGGGGACAGGGAGCGGGGAAAGCCACGGGACCCCCTGGGGCCGACTGCCTCTCAGAACTTAGGCAGACAGGAGCTACGGGGACACAGCTAGCCACAGCTGCACAGAAGCATGGCCCGTGGGCAAAGGGAATGAGATACACTATCCTCTTATCCTTTTGTCTTCTGCTGGGGTCTCCCGTTAGTCCAACCCAGGAGGAAGCACGGTGGGGAAGTTCAGGTGAATCAGCCCCCAAAGACACTGAGCGAGGCGGAGAAGGACAAGGGGCGGGCGAGGGTGTGCAGAAAGCTTTAGCAGTTCACTCGGGCCAGCGAGAAGGGAAGGAGCTGCAGACACAGAGGCACCCGGTCATTTTGGAGAACAGTAATTTAATGTCGGGTGAATCCATGGAAAGAGCTTCTCTGGTGGGTCAGAAAGATCACAGAGGGCGTCAAATCAACTCATCCTAGAGTGGGTGCCATCAAGTAGAAGGGGAGGGAGACGCGGTAGGTAGTAGGGTTGATTAAGGGTGAGTTGAGCGTGCCACTGCCCGGGAACCAGGTGGCACTGCCTGGGAGCCAGATGGCATGGCCCATGGCTAAGGTGGATCAGTCCCGGAAGTGGGTTTGAGCGTGAAGGGTGTGGTGCACGGACGGTGCCCTAGGACAGAGGTTGGTGGTCGTGAAGACAGTACCATGACTCCTTAACTAGAGCTCCTCAATTTCGGAGGTTGCTCAGGGAGAGACCTTCTACATTATGCACAGAGGCAGGAGCGGGGTCGCTCCCTCCTCTTGAGAAAGGGTACCTCTGTGATGGCATACTTGCCCATCCCGCCTGGGGGTGCCGCCGTCACACGCAGATTAACTGCACCCACAGGCTTCTACCACCATGTCGGGTATGTCAGTCTTGACAATATTGCTGTCCCTGTCGTAGTAGAGCAGAGACAGGGGTCGCTGGGCTGTGGGCACGCAGCAGGAGCCCCCTCCAGCAGTCCCCGCAGCTGTGTTGGCTTTGAGAAGATTGAGGACTGCGGTGTGAAAGGATGCGGCGATGCCAGGCATGCCTGCCACGTGCAGTGGGCACTGCCCTGTGCAGAAGTTCATGGCGTAGCCTTCGGGCTGGATGATCCAGTCGTGCCAGCCAATCTCGCGGAAGTCTACAAAGAACTCTTGTCGGCAGCACATCCTGGACCCTCCCTGGCAGTCGATGCCTTGTCGGCGAACCCGGTGCTTGCCCCCAGCTCGCACTCGAGCCGCCACAAAAGGCCTATGGGCAGTGTCACCCATGGTGACTGAGCTCCGGGCTCCCTGGCCTTCAGGTACCAGCTCCAGGGTAAGGTGCCCCTGGCTGCAGGCAGCCTGAGCTTCAGGCCCTAGGATGAGCTGCTGCCAGCCGCTGGCATTCACCTCCAGCAGGTGCCGACTGGCTACGGTGACGTTGGTGTCGTGTGGGCTTAGTGCAAAGACCTTGACTTTTATACTCCAGGTGCTGTTGGGAGGGAGCTGCACGAAGAACATGACGCTGGCCTGCCGGATGTCCACGCCCCCAGCAGTCCCATCCGAGGAAAAGTGGAAATCAAGACGAGTCTGGTTGGTGTAGGAGAAGCCTGTGGACACAAGAAGCCCCAGTCATTGTGCTTTTCTAAGCGTCAATTCTACCATTCCTTTCTTGTTTGTGGTGGTTCTGGGCATCGAACCCAGGGGCTCACGCTAAGTTATATTGAGCTCACTTTGTAGCTCAGGCTGGTCTTGAACTCGCGACGATCCTCCTGCCTCAGCCTCCTGAGTGCTGGGATTACAGGCGTGCGCCATCACGCCCAGCTCCACTTCTTGGGCTAGGGATTGAGCTCAGGGCTTTCACACTGAGTTGTAACTCCATGTCCCCCCTCTTTTTTTTTTTTTTTTTTTTTTTACTGGGACTCAAACTCAGGACCTTGCGCTTGCCAGGCAGGCGCTTATGCCACTGAGCTATATCCCCGGGCCTCCCCTCTTTTTCATTTTGAGACAGGCCCTCATTAAGTTGATAAATTGCCCAGGCTTGGCTTGAACTTGTGATTCTCCTGCCTTATCCACCTGAGTAGCTGGGATTACGTGTGCCACCACAATCTGCTCCTCTTTAATGCCAGCACACGTGAACTGTCTGACGCCCTCAAAATTGCTATGGTTTGAGTACGTTTCCTAACGCTCAAGTGTTGGAAATTTGATCCCCCAGAAGGTCGTGTTGGGAGGTGCAGCCTAATGGGTGGTATTTGAGTCATGGAGATCAAATCCCTCAGGAACAGATTAATGTCTTTATCATGGGGATGGGTTCCTTATAAAAGATGAGTTCAGGACCCCACACTTTGCCTTCTTTTTGGCCTTCTACTGTGGGGTATGGGCCAGGAAGATGGCTCAGCGGCACAATGCCTGCCTGGCAAGCGCAAGGTCCTGAGTTCAATTCCCGTTACAAAAAATATATGTATACCATGGGATAATACAGCAAGAAGCCCTTGCCAGATGCTGGCCCCTTCTGAGCCTCCAGAATCCTGAGATAATAAATTTCTGTGCATTATAAGTTAGCCAGTCTGTGGTATTCCACTGTAGCAGCACAAAATGGACTAAGAAAGCTGGTAACGAGAGTGGAATGGTGCTACAACCAATACCCAAAGATGTGGAAGTGGCTTTGGAACTGGGTAATGAGACTGAGGAATTTGGAAAAGTATAATAGGAAAAGCCTAGAGTGCTACAAGCAGAGAGTACTAAGGGTCGTTCCGGTGAGGACTCAGAAGAAAAGGGCTGTAAGAAAAAACTGCCACTTCCTAGATATTAAGTGGTCATGATCATTAAGTGGTCATGAATGCTGGGGGAAATATGGGTGGGAAAAGCAATTCTGCAGGTGGCAATTAGAAACATCTACCTGGAAACTGGAGCAAAGGCCATCCTTGTTACAAAGTAGCTGAGAACTTGGCTGAATTGTGGCCATGTTCAAGGGTTTTATGGAAGGTAGAAATTAAGAGTGATGAATCTAGATATTTTATGGAAGAAACATGTAAACCAAATATTGAAGGAGCTGTGTGACTTTTTAAAACTGCATACTGCCAGACATAGTGGTGCACACCTGTAACCCCAACACTTGGGAGGCTGAGGCAGGAGGATCTTTGTGAGGTTGAGGCCAGCCTGGGCTACAAAATGAATTCAAGACAAGCCTGAACTGCATAGTGAAACCCTGTCTCAAAAACAAACAAAAAAAAAACAAAAACAAAAACAAAAAAAAAAACCCTGCATACTGTAAAGTGATAGCAAAGAGAAATTATTTTAAGATGGAATTTATAATTAAAAGAAGCCTTAATACAGATTCAGAAAAACCCCAGTTAGGCCACATAAGTACTAAAAAAGAAGTTGGATGTGGGGGTGCACACTTGCAATCCCAGCACTCTTGGAGACTGAGGCAGGAGGACTGCAAGTTTGACCTCAGCCTGGGTAACTCAGAAACCTAGGCAGACACTATCTCAAACAAGCAAAGGAGGAAAAAAGTAGCAGGGTATACTGGGGACTCGGCTTAGTGCAAAGGCCCTGGGTTCAATCCCCAGTACTGAGCGGGTAGAAATAAATATGAAAAAGGAAGGTTCTAGAAAGAAAATCAGGGGTATGGCCTAGCCCCACTCTTTGATAAGGAGATCAATATGGATAGAAGGGAGCCAGTAGCTTTTTTTTTTTTTTTTGTCATTTTGAGACAGGGTCATGCTGTGCAGTTCAGGCTGGCCTTGAGCTCACTTTGTAGCCCTGGCTGGCCTCGAACTCACAGCGATCCTCCTGCCTCAGCCTCCCGAGTGCTGGGATTACAGGCCTGTGCCATCGTGCCCGGTGAAAACTTTTTTTCTTCCTATACTGAGGCTTGAACCTAAGACCTTTGCACTGAGCTATACCCTGATTCCTTTTTATTTGTTATTTTGAGACAGGATCTTACTAAATTGCCCAGGCTGGGACTGAATTTGCAATTCTGCCTCAGCCTCCCAGGATACTAGGTGTGAGCTACCACCCCTGGCACAAAGTAACCTTTTTATTACATAAATTCAATCAGCTTTATATCTTCAGTTTAAAATACTTCAAAGGTTTCCCATGCTGTTTGGTTAAAATAAAAACTCCTTAACACAGAGAACCTGTGTAATTAGGCAGCCTGCCACTCAATTACCACATTCCAACTATACTGGCCTTTTCTCTATTCCTTGAACTCACCAAACATGGACTCATCTCGTACCCTTTGCACTTGATATTTCCTTTGCCTCGAATGCATTTCCAAGAATTTTTTTTTTCCCTGCAGCCCTGAAGATTGAACCCAGAGCCTCACATATGCAAGGCAAGCACTTTTCCATTGAGCTAAATCTAGCCTTTTTTATTTTCATTACAAAAAAATTTTTTTTTGTTACCAGGAATTGAACTCAGGACCTGCGCTTGCCAGGCAGGCGCTTGTGCCACTGAGTATATCCCCAGCCCTTTATTTTATTTTCAAACAGGTCTCACTAAGGTGATGGCCTCAAACTTAGGATCTCCTGCCTCAACCTCTTGAGTAGCTTGGCTTATAAGTGTGCACCACTGTACCTGGGCTCTTTCCAAGATTTTTGAATGACTGGTTCCTTTCTGGTCCCCAGCTTCAAATCCCCTCCTCAGGGCTACTTCCTTGACTACCCTTTCTAAAGTACTCTCTAATTCAACTTCTTTTTTTTTGAGACAGGGTCTCACTATGCAGTTCAGGCCGGCCTTGAACTCACTTTGTAGCCCAGGCTGGCCTTGAACTCGAAATGATCCTCCTGCCTCAGCCTCCCCAGTGCTGGGATTACAGGCATGCACCACCATGCCCAGCAATTTCTTTCTTTCTTTCTTTCTTTTTTTGGTACCAGGAATCAAACTCGGGACCTTGCACTTGCCAGACAGGTGCTTGTGCCGCTGAGCTATACCCCCGGCCTTCCAATTCAACTTCTGAATCTCTAATGCATTATCCTTCTTCGCTGTCTTTAGAACAAATGTCACTCTCAGCGATCATTTGTTAGCTGTGCACTTCTCCTTCCTCTTCCCTCCTCCAGCTAGAATGTCAGCTCTACGAAGGGGGAGATTGTGTCTGTATGGTCTCCACGGTTCCCTGGTACTCAGTACCTCAGAGGCACTCAATAAGCATTCATTGAATGGGCTTTCATTTCTTTAATTCTCTCACACTGGCATCAGAGTCATTGCCCAGAAACTTGGATGGATCATAAATTCATGGTTTTAAAAATCTTATCAGTGAATAAAGTCCAAATGGCTTTTGGAAGCAGTTAAATGCCCATGATGAGCCAGGTGTTGGTGGTGCATGCTTGTAACCCCAGCTACCCAGGAGGCTAAGGCAGGAGGATCATGAGTTCAAGGCCGGCTTGGGCAACATAGCAAGACCTTATCTTAAATAAATAAGTAATCATTATGATTTGGCTTTAGTTAATATTTATTATACATAT